GATATGTAAGGCAGGTTGATGCTAGGAACACGTGGGACCAGTTAAAAACCAACATTAAACCAAAGAACATGGATAGAGCCAGCAAACAGTTACGCACACTTAATTACCATTAGAAACCCATATCTATGGTCTGCGAATAATTTGTTGACACACTTTTCATCAAATCCATGTGAATCAACACATCTCAGCGAGGTTCCTTTCATGCCTTGAGACGATACAAGTAATGAAACTGTCACTTTAATCTGAAGTGAACCGACATTCAGGAACCATATTCTAAGTTGCATCCACTAAAGCAGTCTCTCAATCTGAGGATAACAAACGTCTACACCGAACCTCAGATGCTTCTCTTTTGTGCTGGAAAATAACTGTGTACCGTATTCGTTTTCCAAGTAAACCGATAGTGTTCCATCCATGTTAATCGATCATATGTTTAAATATTTTCTGGTTGGTCCTATACGTAAGTACTTGTTTTGTGTTTCCGTGTCAGATATCACCTTCGCTCGCCATCCTTCTACTTAACCAACCCCAGACTAATTCTTAACCCGTGCTACTGACATCGTTGCAGAAAGATGGCGAGCGAAGGTGATATCTGACACGGAAACATTTAGTTATTCTCACCGTGATTGTTGATAAGCTGAATGATAGTACCATACTAACGATGTCAGTAGCAAGGGTTAAGAATGAGTCTGGGGTTGGTTAAGCTAAATGATAGTACCAGATTAACGATCCGAGTGTGGGCTAATAGTTAGCATACTAGACTATAGTATGCGAGTCCAACGTTAGCGTCCCATTACTACCACTTCTTTTTAAACCTCGTGCACCGCACTTAAAAAGTGTACACGCATTATAAAAATAACGGTTTAATCCCATTAGTAGGTTAAATAAAACTATCTCAAGAGTTGGCGGCGGGTGCTGATGGCTGGTTTTCTTTCCTTTAGTATATCAGCTCAGAGTCAGGGATAGCTAGCACAGATGACTCTTTGCTACCTTTGCTTGAATATCCCCCCCCCCAAAAAACAACAACAACAACAGACAACAACAACAAAGTTACACTGACCCTGTCTACTGATTAGTTATATTGACCTATTTTGCTGTTGATGAGCTATCTCAACATGCTTTGTCTGTTGATGATCTAGCTATTTGCGCTGGCTTCATACGTTGATGAGCTACATGGACGAGCCTTGTCTGTTGAAAATCTCGCTAGACCAGCCTTTTCTATTGATGGCTAGAAAATCCTGTGACATATAGGAAGTGGATGAAGGCTTGTGTGGTACTGTATGTGCTTAATGTGATGGCACGGACAGTTGGATATTGTTAACTAAAGGTAAATGTTACACTAACAGGTCATGCTCAGCTAAGTGGATGAAGCTTGTGTGGTACTGTATGTGCTTAATGTGATGGCACGGACAGTTGGATATTGTTAACTAAAGGTAAATGTTACACTAACAGGTCATGCTCAGCTAAGTGGATGAAGCTTGTGTGGTACTGTATGTGCTTAATGTGATGGCACGGACAGTTGGATATTGTTAACTAAAGGTAAATGTTACACTAACAGGTCATGCTTAGCTAAGTGGATGAAGCTTGTGTGGTACTGTATGTGCTTAATGTGATGGCACGGACAGTTGGATATTGTTAACTAAAGGTAAATGTTACACTAACAGGTCATGCTTAGCTAAGTGGATGAAGCTTGTGTGGTACTGTATGTGCTTAATGTGATG